AAGTCAAAAACATATATCTACATAAAGAAAGGAAGAGTGTCAGAGAAGGCATAAGTGAAGATAATGCTTGCTAGTGCGCTCACCATTCTTGTCAATTTCCGTGTGTTAGGAGCCATCTTCACATGTCATGCCTGGGTACAGTTTAACCAAAACAGAAAGAGGGAATTTTTTATTTTATTTATTAAATCATAAACACATAGATCATATATACATTAATGCATTTATGGGGTACAATGTGCTGATTTCATATAGCATTAGGAATGCTTACATCACACTGGTTAATATATACCTCATCTCGTTTACTTAGTTATTGTGTTAAGACATTTATACTCTATACGAATAGATCCAACACGTACCCTTGCATTATGTACCATTGGTGTGATCCCACTATTCACCCTCCTTTGATCTGACCTCCCCCTTTCCTTCCCATCCCCCCCACTTCATCCTTCATCTTGGGCCATAGTTGTGATCTACTCTTCATATGAAAGTGTGGGCTCTGCACCTGTGGCTAAGGCACCAGCCACATACACCTGAGCTGGTGGGTTCGAATCCAGTCCGGGCCCGCCAAACAACAATGATGACAGCAACCAAAAAATAGCCAGGTATTGTGGCAGGCACCTGTAGTCCCAGCTACTTGGGAGGTAGGGGCAGGACAATCGCTTGAGCCCAGGAGTCGGAGGTTGCTTTGAGCTGTGATTCCATGGCACTCTACCCAGGATGACCGCTTGAGGCTCTGTCTCAAAAAAAAAAAAAAGTGTGAGTGATTGTAAATTGGTTTCATAACAGTACTGAGTACATGGGATATTTTTCTTCCATTCTTCAGATACTTTACTAAGAAGAATATGTTCCAGCTCCATCCATGTAAACATAAAAGAGGTAAAGTCTCCATCTTTTTTTAAGGCTGCATAATATTCCACGGTATACATATGCCACAATTTATTAATCCATTCATGGGTTGATGGGCACTTGGGCTTCTTCCATGACTTGGCTATTATGATTTGAGCTGCAATGAACAATCTGATGCAAATATCTCTGTTACAAAGTGATTTTTGGTCTTTTGGATAGACACCTCGTAGAGGAATTGCAGTATCAAACAGCAGGTCTACTTTTAGATCCCAGAGTATCCTCCATATTTCTTTCCCAAACGAACATACTAGCTTGCACTCCCACCAGAGAAAAGATGGAATTTTCACTCTCTTATTCTGAAACCACTATTTCTATTAATGTAGTCCTTAAATGCATGTAATAATCTCACCTATAAAATGTATTGTAGGGTTGGCGCCTATGGCTCAAGCAGCTAAGGCGCCAGCCACATAGACCTGAGCTGGTGGGTTCAAATCCAGCCCGGGGCCCACCAAACAACAGTGATGGCTGCAACCAAAAAATAGCCAGGCATTGTGGTGGGCGCCTGTAGTCCTAGCTACTTGGGAGGCTAGGAGAATCACTTGAGCCCAGGAGTTGGAGGTTGCTATGAGCTGTGATGCCACAGCACTCTACCCAGGAGGACAGGTTGAGGCTCTGTCTAAAAAAAAAAAGGATTGTATTTTTAAGCATAAAAATCTGTTTTCCCTTTTTATAAGTGAGTTATGCCTTCCAGTTTTAGAGAATGTGAACAATATACTATCAAAAGTGTTAAAATATGCTAATCATATGTAAATAAATTTCATTGTAAAATAATCAAATAATACAAAATATATCATATACAGAAAAAAGGAACGAATCTTTCTTTACAAAACACACTCCATCCTTCTCCCCTTCAGAGCTAATCACTTAATAGTTGGTGTGAACATATTCCATATCTATGTATTACAAAGTACATGTTCCATAAAAGGAATATATATTATTCTACAATTTGTATTTTCACTTAACTTTGTATTAGTAGTTGTTTCCATTTTGGTATATATAGAGCTACTTCAGTTTGATATCATAGTAGGGTAGAATAGTACCTTATAAAATAAATGTGCCATATTTTGTTTAACCCTCTCCCTATTGATGGCCATTTATTTACAATCAATTGCTAATACTAAGAATGCTATGTTTAATGGATATTTTTGTACCTCTCTTCTTAAAGCATTATACTGGAGAAAGAAAACTCTCACATCAGAATCTGTAGGCCAATGTCTTCTGTAATTAAGAGACTGTATTAAAGTTTTAATACTATTAAACTTAAATAAAAGGACAAAATCAACAAGAACAAACAAATATTACAAATGTTAAGAATCATGTCCTAAAATGATTCATCAAAATTAGGGTGACGATTGAAAGTTGTTTATTTTAGTATGACTAGTATTTTCTAAGACACATATATCAGTGTGTTAGATTAAGGGACCTCCAAAAGGAATATCAATGACCATGAAAAAGGATCATGAATTTTTTTTGTTTATGGCTGTATTTTAAAATGGAGGTATCACTAGTATTTCTAATAACAGTGTGCTTTAGTACTTGCTTCACAATCTCTGTCCTTTCTTTTCGCTTTCTTTCCTCCCTTAAAAAACTATTTAGAAAGAAGCTCCTTTGTGGCAGACTGTGAGCTAAACCCTAGGGTTATAGGCAACAAAGATAAAGACACATATATAGATTACTATTGGTCTGCAACCAACAGAGGGTACCATGGAATTCCTTTTTTTTTTTTTTCACACAAAGTCTCACTTTTTTGCCCTGGGTAGAGTGCCTTGGTGTCATAGGTAACAGCAAGAAATCCTCTTGCCTCAGCCTCCTGAGTAGCTGGGGCTACAGATGCTAGCAACAAGGCCCAGCTAGTTTTTCTATTTTTAGTAAAGAATTGGTCTCCCTCTTGCTCAGAGTGGTCTTGAACTCTCGACCTCAAGAAGTTCACCCACCTCAGCCTCCCAAAGTGGTAGGATTACACGCCTGAACCACCCAGCCCTGTGGTACCATGGAATTCTATAACTCAGTAGCCTCACCTCCTTCAACAATTCACTGAATTGTGTACTATGTGCTAAGGATAAAGCTATGAAGGAGATGGAAAATGTACCCTTCGTTCATGGAACTTACACACTTAACTTGAACTCCCCCCTGCTTGGAAGGGAAAGTCAAAAATTCTATAGAAAAGAGCCACATGTATTCATTAGGGTGTAGGGCTAAGATAAAAGGAGTTGAGATCTTGAAGAAGTGCATGGTTGTGTATTCTTTTCTTTAAAAAAACAGTGGAATAGGAGCCAGGACCATCCCTACCTGGTGCCTGACACTTGGCTATTGGGCAGCAGAAAGAAAGGACTGTGTGATCCTGACAGAGAAAGGTCCTCATTTGTGAGCAACTGGTGACAGCACAATGCCAAGTGGAGTAAGAAAAAGGAGCCTGGCGGAATGAATGGCTCTTGGTGTAGACCAATGGTTAGTTCCCTAGGGTTAGAGGTCAGGTCTAGGCAGTGGTGTGGCCTTTCTGGGGGCTCCCACCCAGTTCACTTAACAGTAAGTGTACCTTCCTCCGCTGCTTGGATACACGAAGCAGTAACACAAAAGTAAGGGAAAGCCACCTTAGAGCTCCAGGGCAAACCTGGTTCGAGACACCCCCCCATCCCCGCTTCCCCTCTGAGCCTGCAGTCCAGACACCCTTCCCCCATTAGCGTCCTGGAAAGGTGATAAGCTGGCCAGGAAGGGGGAGGGGAACAGCGAGTCAGAGTGTGGGGTGCAGACATACCAAGGGGCAGCTTGGTATCCATCCGCTGTTACTCCAGCACTGCAGTTCCCGACCTCCTGATCCTGCCCCTTCCCCCCGCCCCCCGCCGCCCGCTGGTCCCCGAATTGTAGCAACACCAGAAATGTGGTGGTGGTCGCCACGTTAGGGTCCGCGGGGTCCTACTGAGGCAGCCTGGTGCCAGCCCACCCCTCAGGCTGGGGCTCCTGGTGGCCCCGCCCACCTCTGGTCGGAACTACGGTGGGCCCGGGAGGGGGCGTCGAGCACTTCGCGCCGTATCCCTCCGCCCCCTTCCCGACACCCTCGAGGCGAGCGGTTCTTGCCGCATCCTGCGTAGCCCCTGCCCAGTTTGCTGCAGCGGCGGGCGTGGGGGGCGGGCCGCCTCTTTGCAATTCTGATCGCACGGAAGGCGGTGGGAATCCGGGCGAGTGAGCAGCCAGAGCAGAGCAGAGATCCAGCAGAGGAGAGGAGAGGAGAGGAGGGGAGGCCGACGACCTGGGCCCTGAGCCTGGGAAGGCAAGTGGGGGTGTTGGGGGTGCGTGGGTGGTTCCCCTCTGTTGACCAGCTGGCAGCTTGTACCCCAGACCCTGGCAAGGAGGCGGCGACTCGGTCGGAGCCTGTCCCCGAGAAAGGTGTGCGGTGCCCGGGACCCCTGGAGACGAGGGGGAGACGGCCAGCGCGGGTCAGGCCAGGCCAAGGGCGGAGGGGGTGGCCAGAGAGGCACCGTCAGGTAGTCTAGAGGCGAACCTCGCGGACAGGGCTTTGAGGGGGAGGCTGCTGCGGGAGAAATGGCGGAGCGGGAGGCGGGCTGAGGGGCGGCCGGGGAGGCCGCTGGGGACAGGGACTGTGTAGAGGCCTTTGCCCAGCTGGCGGGCGGTGGGTGGTGTTTACTACTCTGGGGCCTAATTCCGGTAAGGCGCCCGTTGGGCCCCGTGTCCGGGGTGCTGTCCCTTCTCACAGGTTCCAGGTTGAAGTCAAAGTCTCCTGTGTGCATGGTAGTTTTAGTTGATTCTACACATGTGGAACTGTGAGTGATTATGAAGATACCAAAAGGAAATATTCATTTGCCTTTCCATACAACACTGTTTTCTTGCCTTTACTATTTAGAGTTCCACACCCGTTTTAGTGCAAACAAACGGGCAGGATGAGCAGTTGGTCGAATTTCACAACATGCCTGGGTCCGTGTACATAAATATTAATCCACCCTTCTCATTCAGCATGCCCATCCACCTTAAATAAATTGTTGACCTGTGGGAATAGGGGTTCAGAGTAGAGAGGAAATCTTTCTGAAAGGGTCAATTTATAACTTGAAATTAATCTGCCTTTTTAATTTTAATTTTAATTTCTGATTCTAGAAATCCATCTCCAACTGCAGACACCCCTCTCAGCCCCTGTCATTTTGGAAAACAGTCCCGCAGAAGAATTCATGATATTTCTGACGGTGAGTGTCTGAGGAGCTGTGAAAGTTGGGAGGCTCCATTTGTATAGTTCCTGATTCTCCAAAAGGAGGTATTAGAATTTGAATTCAAGAATGTGTCCATTAACCTGATGTCAGTATATTGTCTTGTTTTGATGAGTACTTTTCCTTCTTAATGTAGGATGGGACTCTTCTCCAGCTAGAAGAGTCTTCTTTGGTGGGGAGGATAGAATCTTCTGAGGACTCCGTCAGTATGGGCAGACTGGCATAGGTGGTCAATAAGGAACATCTAGGTATGCATGGGAGGGGAGGAAGCATGCAAAGGTGATATTGAAGCAATCGTCCCTAGTAGCTTCCCTGCCCACTTTCTAAATACAGTTGCCTGTGTTCCACTATCTCTTCCAGTGCCTCATATTTTTATTCATGGAAAGAGATGTGGCCTCTGCTGGGAAAATTATTGGCTTCAGAATTGGAAGGGGGTGTAATCAGGTTGCAAATCTTGGGAGGATGGCTAGGGAATTACTGAGGAGGAGTAGACAGATGGAAAACATTTAATGTGGCTTTGAATGTACAAAAATGTGTTATAATCCTTGTCATGGGTGTTAGGTCATCTTGGTCTCTTCCGTTTTCTTTTTTTTGCCTTTATTTATAAATCCATTCCTTTCTATATTTCTGTAGAGATCTATAGATAGCTGTTCATTTGGAAGTTAATTAAGAAAGAGAACAAAAACTCTACATTTGGATCCAAGTGGGTGTGAGCATAACAGTCCTGTCGATTGGAGGTAAGGGGTGGCTGTTGGCAAGATCACATCTTGGATCCAATGTCTTACAGTTTTATAGACACCTCTGTGTTCACACATGTGCAGTTAATGAGGGTGAGATGAGCCAGAATTGTGCCTACAGAGTAATTGGTAGATACTGAGGGAGGAGGGAAGTAATGAGGACCAAGAGGGCCAGAGTATTACATAACTAAAACTTTAGATTTTGAAATGCAAGTATTGGGTTTAGAGTTTGGAGTATATATCTGTCTACCAAATACTCAAAATTTCAATCCTACCTGTATTTTTGTCCATAGGTCTGCATACAGGTCGACTATAGGCTAATCAACACTGAAAGCAAGGAAGGAGAAAAAAATCGTGCCTTATCAGTGCAGGTTGGTATGCGACCTGTCTGGCAAAATCTATAATACAAGGTCTAGCGGTATATATCAGCATGGGTCCAACGGGGCCAACCACTCCTTAGCCTCTCGTACTCTCAGCAAGTTTACCTACCATCCTTGTTCCTATTTGATGCAGAGAAAAGAACGGTAGTATCTGTGCAAAATACTGGAAGTGTGCGAGAGACAAAAGGAGGTAGAATTTTCTACTAATTCACTTCTACCACACCGTCCATTTCTCTTCTCTTATGTCCTTTTGTATGGCTATCTACATAGAGAAGCACAGTTATAGGTGACTCAAAGCCTCCATTTTTTTCTTCTACGTTAGGTCCATCTTCAAGGCTGTGGTGGCTTTGGATTGGCAGAAGATCATTACCTTCAACAGGTCTGCATTTTGGAACCATCATCTTCCACATCCTGAGCCTGCCTCTACACTCTGTCTATATCATTGACAGAGACTTTTGTGTTTGGAAAGGGGACTGTGTGACTGCTATACTGAAAACTGACTCTTACTTGTGCTACCAAATTTAGCCCTGACCCAGTGGGAGAATTTTAAGACATCAACCTGGGGCACATTGATAACTGAGGCCAAGACTGTACAGGGCTGTATAATCGAGCTTCAACCATGACTGGGGCTAAGAATAAGAGTAGAACCCAGGCTAAAACTGAAAAGAAGGCTTGCGTACAGGCAAAAGCTGCAACAGAGAAGGAGGCTACTCCTGTAGTCAGGCCTGTAGCCAAGACTCGGGTCAAAGCAAAAGCCAAATCAGCATCTAAGTCAGAGTCAGTGACAGATACAAAAGCAGTGCCTAAGAACAAGGTTGTTGCTGAGGTGAAGGGAAGAGCCTTGTCAGAGCCTAAGACGCTCGTCAAAGCCATGGCAGATTTAAGTCCCAAGGTTGAGAATGAGGCTACCAGCTCCACATGTAAAAATGAGATTTGTATTGATTCCTGGTTCTGGTGTGGGGAAGAGGCCAGTATCAATTCCTGGTTCTGGACTGGAGAAGAGGCTAGTAATTGTTCCAGTGCTAAGAATGAAGGCAAAGATAATTCAGTTGCTCAGGTCTGTGCTAAGGAGTTGGAGCCTGTGGCTGGGGCCAGCCATAAGTCTAGGTCAGGGGCTGAGGAAGAGGAAGAAGAAAATGTTATTGGGAACTGGTTTTGGGAAGGAGATGATACTAGTTTTGACCTTGATCCTAAACCTGTGTACAGGATAGTTAGGCCTCAGCCTGTGGATGAAATTAATGAAAAAAATAGACCTAAGGATTGGTCTGAGGTAACTATCTGGCCCAATGCCCCTGCTGTAATTCCAGCAGTGTTAGGATATAGATCCCAGGTCTCATGTGAGACAAAGCCTCCTTCATATCTTGTTTTAGCTTCAGCTGAGGAAAATGCCCATTCTTTGCCTGCATCAACAGCCTGCTCTTCTAGGAATACTCGCTCATTGTCACAGCCTATCCCTGAGTGCCCATTTGGTTCAGACCCTTGCATCCAGACCATAGATGACATTAGACGCCAAATCAGGATCAGGGAGCTAAATGGGATTAAGCCATTTGCTTGCCCTTGCAAAATGGAATGCTACTTGGATTCTGAGGAATTTGAAAAACTTGTTAACTTACTTAAGTCAACTACTGATCCTCTCATTCATAAAATAGCCCAGATTGCAATGGGTATCCATAATGTTCATCCATTTGCTCAAGAATTTATTAATGAAGTAGGTATAGTGACACTTATTGAAAGCTTGCTCAGTTTTCCTTCCCTTGATGTGAGAAAAAAGACTGTAATTACTCTGAATCCTCCTTCTGGGGATGAAAGGCAACATAAGGTTGGATTACATGTTAAGCATATGTGTAAGGAAACTGTGTCATTTCCCTTAAATTCACCTGGACAGCAATCTGGATTAAAGATACTAGGGCAACTGACTGCTCAGTCTGTCCATCACTACATTGTTGCCAGTTACTTTTCAGAGCTTTTCCATTTGATTTCTGTGGGAAATTGTAAAACCAGAAATCTTGTTTTGAAAGTACTTTTGAATATGTCTGAAAATCCAACTGCAGCCAGAGATATGATCGATATGAAGGCATTGGCAGCATTAAAACTCATTTTTAACCAGAAAGAGGCAAAAGCCAATCTTATTAGTGCAGTGGCCATATTTATTAACATAAAGGAGCATATCAGAAAGGGCTCAATCGTAGTTGTTGATCACTTGAATTATAATGCACTCATGGCCATTTTCCGAGACGTTAAAGGGATTATTAAATCAATGTAAAATGAGCCAGAAATAAAAGAGAGCATATTGAACCATCTTCAAACTCTTAGCAAGCTGTATATTCCCAAAGAGCCTTGCATCATGTTTTGGTTATTACAGTGTGCACACTATTTGAGCTAGATCATTTGAGGGTATCAAATGAATAATTACATCTTGAGCTGAAAACATAAATTAATTTTTATCTTTTCTAGATTGGTACTTTTTAACATTTTACTTGAGAAGATACTGAACCATTTCATTATAAGTAAGCCCATTTGTTTATTAGTATCTGCTTAGATCCATTTATGTTTACAAATGACAGAAAAGGAAATATCCTTAAATTAAGGCATATATATACAAAGATAATATCTAAGAGTGTATGTACATGTGTGCACACATGGGTGAGATATTCTCATTGCCAAATGTGCCCTCTGAATATGTAAAGAGGCAGGGGTTGCTATAGGCCAGTGGTTCTCAACCTTCCTAATGCCGTGACCCTTTAATACAGTTCCTGTGGGTCGTGACCCACAGGTTGAGAACTGCTGCTATAGGCTATTTCATGTAAGAGCAATTACTGTTGTCACCTTATCCTGGATATACCAGACAATAATTCAACAACACAGAAATGACCCAGAATCTCAGACAAAATGTAGTGTTTGGTCTTTTTTTTTTTTTTAGAATATTCAGAGTTTATTGATAAACATAAAAAAACTCTACAAAAGTTAAGACAAGCCTTAACAGTATAGGGGTGATGGGAACAGCTCACCAATCTTCACTTAAATTTCTACTTCTTATATACCTAAAGCTACCCTTTTTCCAATATTTGGCTACTACGTTTGTAATTCTTAAATTGTTAAGCTTTCTCATTTGTGTCAAAGTCATTTCACAGAAGAGAAGAGAGAAAACATTTCATGAATGTCTGTTTTGTGCCAAACACTTCGTTGGCACTGTAGCATACAAGTTTTTTCCCCCCTCATAGCAGGCAGGTGGCATAGCTGTTTTACCTGATACTAAAGCCAGTCTCACTACCCTACTTTACAGTCCCCCCTCACTTTTTAGTTGATGTTCCTCAATGCTCAGAGACTGGTTTTAATGGTTTAACTTTGTGGTAGATAATGTCCCCTGCCAAGTGTTGCAGTTCTTAACTTCCTCCAAATGCATGTGTCCATTAGGCATTTGGCTAACCTGGCTGGAGGTCAGGAGAAAAGTCTGAGATGAATGTGTGGATTTTATCTGTAGTATCTGGGAAATACTAGATTCCCAAAACATTGCTCAATGAATAAGATGTAGATTAGGAGTCATCTGCAAGTGAAATTTGTTATCCTTTGTATCCATTTGTATTTTTTTTCAGAGAGCTTTAACTTTGCTGTACATTGCTTTATATCCAGTGTTTAGAAAGGTAGGTTTTATCCTCCCTGCAAAATCATACCCTGATATTTGTAACATGTATGATTTATTCTCCTATGTGCCACAGGAAAGGCCTAAGGGCTTTTTCTTTCACCCTGGCTCATTTTTGCATAAAAGTGTATGGAGTAAACTTAAGAAAAATTCAGACTGAGAACTCTAGCTTCAACAACCCAAAACAGGAAAGCTAAGAGAGAGGCTGTTATCTCAACTTGTAAGACAGTGGTTTCTGAAATCCTACGTGGTCCAGAAAGCATTCCCAGAACTTTCAGGCTATGGTTTTGTTCTCTAGACTTGTGATAGGAATTACAACCCCGGGTCTGAACTAAAGAGAAAGTCTCTTCTTTGTGAAAATATGGGGTTATGTACTTTGATATTTTGAGACAGTTAAGAAATTAAAGCAAGATCATTCTGTAAATATGTTTGTAACTTGCTCCCCTACTAACTATATTGTGAACATTTTTCCACGTTAATAAAATATGCCTTTGATTTTTGAATCCTTTAAATGTTTTTCCTGTGTTAACACTGGTGTATTGTATTCTTTCATTGCATATTCTCTTTTTCTTTAATTTTTTTTTTGTTAAATCATAGCTGTGTACATTAATGCATTTATGGGGTACAATGTCCTGGTTTTATATACAATTTGAAATACAACAAACTGGTTAACATAGCCTTCACTGTACTTTTTAAATTATTGTGTTAAGACATTTATATTCTACACTTAGTAGATTTGACATGTACCCTTATAAAATGCACCATAGGTATGGTCTGACCAATTACTCTCTCTCCACCTATCCTCCCTCCCCTCCACCTCCACTTCCCCCTTCATCTTGGGCTATAGTTGGTATATAGCTTTCATATGGAAGTGTGGTTGGTTATATATTGGTTTCATAGAGCTGAGTACATTGGATACTTCCATTCTTTTTTTTTAATTAAATCATAGCTGTGTACATTAATGCAATCATGGGGTACAGTGTGCTAGTTTTATATACAATTTGAAATGTTTTCATCAAACTGGTTAACATAGCCTTCACAGCATTTTCTTAGTTATTAATACATTTATATTCTACACCTTCCATTCTTGAGATACTTTACTAAGAAGAATATGCTCCAGCTCCATCCATGTAAACATAAAAGAGGTAAAGTCTCCATCTTTTATTAAGGCTGCATAATATTCCATGGTGTACATATACCACAATTTATTAATCCATTCGTTGGTTGATGGGCACTTGAGCTTCTTCCATGACTTAGCAATTATGAATTGGGCTGCAATAAACATTCTGGTACAAATATCTTTGTTATAAAGTGATTTTTGGTCTTCTTGTATATTCTCTTAATATATAATATACACAAAGTCTTTGGCAAAAATAGAATATAGTACTCTGTGATACCTTTCTTCTTAATTATCTTCCCAATTTAGCATTATATGGATCAACCAAATGCTTTTCTTTTAGTAGCTTTACTTAGATAAAATTAACATACATTAAACTGCATATTGTGTTTAATTTTATAAGTTTTAATGTAGATATACAAACAAAACCCTAGTCACAGTCAAAATAGTTAACATACCCATCACCCTTCTTAATGCCACTTGGTAATCCCTCCCTCCTGTCTCTCCTGTGGCCATACCTTAAGCAACCACTGATCTACCTTCTAACTTGGCCTTGCATTCATTTTCTGTAATTGTATATAAATGGAATCATTCAGTGTGTATTCTTTTCAAGGGGAGAGGTGTGGCTTATTTCACACAGCAGAATTATTTGAGATTCATCCATGTCATTTGTCTATTAATAGTTCATTGCCAAATTATTCCATATGTCTTTACCATAATTTGTCAATTCACCTGTTGGTGGACACTTGAGTGGTTTACATTTTGGCTATTATAGTTAAAATAGCTGTGGGCATTTGTGTACAATTGTTTCTATGGATGTATGTTTTCATTTCTCTTAAATACATAAGAGTGGAATGGCTGAATCATATGATAGGTATAGATTTAATTTTTACATTTTCCAAAGTGGTTGTATGATATTCGTACAGCAATGCATGAGAGTTCTGATTGTGCCACCTTCTTGCTAACACTGGTATGATTAGTCTTTTTAATTTTTTGTATATTTCATTTTAGTTCTAATTTGCATTTACTTAATAACTAAGATGTTGAACATCTTTATACGTATATTTGCTATCCATATATCTTTAGTGAAGTATGTGTAATCTTTTGCCATTAAAAAAAAAAAAAAA